TGGGTGCTCAGCCTGTTACTTCAGTAACTTCATTTTATTTCAAATATCATTAGTGTGTTTTGCTTAAATATTTGTAATAGAAATTATTTTAATAGATTATGGTAAGTGTAGACTGTAATTATCAATATCTATAATTAAATGTGCTATGTGAATAAAATTGTTTACTCTTTAATCTTAATTACAGGCAGCTCTTCAACTAGAGAATTCAAAATAGGAAGAGGCAACCATTGCAGACTACTTCATTGCTTTTGGAGAAAACTAGTGGAGGAATGCGATTTAAAAGAAGTGTATGCTAGATAGAAGTGTAGTGCTGAGACACTCAAGATGATTGGGACCCTGTAAATAGTCCAATCCAGGCAGCAGGAAGCTATTGGCAGAACAATTCATCCTTCCAAATAAAGCTATGGAATTTGAGTGGCATAATGTGGACGTTTTCTCTCTTTGTAATGGCTCAAACTTGAAGGCAGAATTTGATTCAGGATTTAGTTAACATGTAGAAACGATCTTAGACGTGTGCAGTTCGCATGTAATAAAACTTGAGTCCATTTTGGAGACTTCGGTGTGAGTAAATTGACTTCCTTTAATTGAGAGTAAATACATGTAGATTCAGTTTAGAGTCGAGTCAGTCAGGTGCTCATGGTGCTTCAAGGGGAGGTAACTCCTGCTAGTACACCTCCTCAGCAGTCTTCTCCATGGTGTTTTGTTTTAGACAAAGTCACACATGTTGCATTTTCTACTTAAAACAAAAAAACCTGCTGCCACGAGGAGAGATTTCCACAAATGGAAAATTATTTGGGGCAAATAATAAAAATTATTTATTGGAAGTTTTTTAGGCTATACCAAGATAAATTGACACAGTATTAGTGGCAGTAGGTGAGGCAGTAATACAAAGTTAAGAAAAGAGAGCAACAGTGTAATTCTGGCAGCTCAATGTAGTCATTACGTTGAATTTGTTGACTATTTCACTTCCAGATATTATTTTAAGTACATGTTAATGTAATGCAAATATGTAGTGCCCCTAATCAAAGTAAATGTTTGTTATTGTGTAATCATCAGTTGTGTAGTCTACACGAGCTTGCACTTCTCTCTTAAATTCTTAAATTGAGGTCATTAAATTGATTATTTTTTTTAATCAAGTTAATTAAATTTCAGTTATCACTTTTTCTCACAGATAGTACTCAGAATTCCCTGGGAAGGGCAAAATCCATAACAAATGACAACAACTTTAAAAAAAAAAAAGTTGTCAAATCCCAGAATTTCTAAAATAATTAAAGTAAAATAAAATCATTGGAACATGGAAATATTTGAAGAGACAAAGTTTTTTGTGGGTTTTTTAAATTTTTGTCTGCCAGTGAATGTCAAATTCAAGCATTAAACAATTCGCCTTGGGGAAAAGAGATTTTCCTTGAAAGTAAAGAGCTTGAAAAGTTGGGTATGTTTATTGTAGGAAAACTTCTTTATAAATTGGAGGGATTATTTTTGTGTATATGAAGAACAGTTGGGTAAACACGAACTGTGAACTTCAAAAACCTTCACAGATCTTGAAACTACTTTAAGTGGTATGAGCTGTATGGGATGTCAGAACACTGCTGGTAATTAGCAACAAAGAAATTGTTAGGATCAGAGTTGCAAACGAGCCGAGTGTCCTTATTTGGAGGTCAAAACTTCTCTCTGAGCTGGTGGCAAGGGAGGGGTTTATCCACCCGATCAGTAAAATACAAAAATTTCAGCTCAAAACATGGACTTATAGCACTTTGACATCATCATCTCATATTCCATTGGCCTACAACTTAAATTTAAGTTCAGCAGCCACTTGGAATGTTTCAGGATTTATGAGCACCTTGGCAGTGAGCGTCCAGTCTTTTTCACTGGAGAGGAGACTGCTCCGGTTTGGTTTGGAGTTCTTTAAAGGTGTCTGGAGTGTCTCTGGAGTTGCAGTAACATGTTTAAACACAAATTGTTTGGAATTTCTGAATTTCCAAACCACGCTCTGTGATTGTCTTCTTGACTTCAATCAACTTCAAGTTCTGTTCAACCCGGGTACAGCAAATATCAACAACAAATTAAGTGAAATTGGAAAGAAAACCAAAACTAGGGAGGTTGGAAATGCTGTGCCACCAAGCCATTCAACAAAAATATGTCTGGGTACCATTTCTTTCTAAAATACTCTGCATCTTTGAATACTTCCCTTCTTTAGGAAACCAGTTTATATGCAGTGCAGAATTGTCCAAAGCAGTCTGGTGTCTGAAAAGAGAAATTATTTGAGCTCTTGACATACAGTAACTGTTCTGCATACCGTGAGGAATAACACAAAGCAGTAAACACATGAAGCAAACACGCGTTTTATAATGCAATAGGATTTTCCTTATTGTCCAAACTATTTGTTTTACAACGATTTTTGGAATTTCTGTACCAAAGCAAACATGAAAATATGTAAGTTGATTTAAATAGAAGATGAAGAGTGGCATGAGTAACACAACCACACGGTTACCCAGTACTTGCACCAGAGCACAATTATTTTTTATGGTGTTGTGACATACTTTGTGTCCTGATAACACGTTTATTCCAGACCTCTAATTGTACCACTGTGCTTCCTTTCTAAGAGGAAGTGTTAGCGAACTTCTTAGCTTTTTCAGAAAATATTAGGACTGCCTTGTTTTAAGGTTCTTTTTTTAAATTTTCATGTTAGTTTGAGGTAACAAAATACCAGTGTTTATCTCTTGTGAAAGAGACATCAACAAAGACGGTATATGGGAGGTCTGGGCTTTTTCAGTGAAGGATAAAAATAATGCATAGGACGATTATAATTTTGTTTGTGGAGTAGAAAATCTCAACAAAAGAGAGGAAATAAGGAGTCTTTGGTTTTTTTCAGCAGTGTTCCTTCATTTTAGTTTATCTTTGCCTGAAATTACTGGGAGGGTTTGTCACTTCTGATTAATTCAGGTAAACCAGGGTTATCGTTCTTGCTGCTTGCTTTTTTGAAGGCTGTTTCTTTCAGGCCTTTACTGTGTGACAGACACATTTGTCTGCTGCAATTGCAAAGACTGAAAAGAATCCTAGTTTATAGCTCTGCCAGCTTTTGGGGATGTTTGGACTCTGTGAGGACCATCAGTGATTTTCAGAATATCTGACTGGTCCTGCACTGTCCTGCATTATTGAAGGAAGCCTCAGGACCCTAAATTAATTTAAGCTGTGAGAGTGCGCGCGTGTTTGTTTTCCTTTGGGATCTTTTAATTAAACCAGCCCTGCTTTAGACATATGTGATTTTGGATCATGATGATAGGAAAGTTGGATTTAATCTCGATATTTCTTGCTGTGAGAACGCTTGCTTTGTGCCTGGCTGTGACACTCCTGCCTTTTTGTGTGTTTGCCATGATTAAACATTTTCCAGTGGCTTGTGCAGAAGCCTGTTGGAAGGCAGTCATACAAGCATTCTTTCATTTTCCGCACTCAGAACTCAAACTTCACTAAACTTGGAAATTTATTTTTATGCGCAGATGATGTTGACCCATCCCTTCTGTAATGGAAACATCTGGCAGTTCATCTCCTATATTGTTTCAGTGTCTTCGTTTGTTGCGCAAGATTTCGTTCTTTAAAGTTTGAGAGAGAGAGATGTATCTGGTGTCATCTTACCATACTAGCTCAATAATTGATTTATTTTTCCTCTGGGATCATTTGGCAAACTGTCTATAATGCATCAATGTTTCTTAAAGGTAGCTTTTCTTTTTAATAACTTTTTCCTTCTCAATGCATTAAAGTTTTAGTGATTGATAATGATGAAATTTAGTTGTTGATGCGAATTTAGTTGTTAGAGAACCTGAAATCAGTTTTCATCTCAGTTCTTGGTTTTAAACTAATCATAAAACCATCATCTTGGCTTATGAGATTGTTTAAACTTGATTCAAGTTTTTGTTGTTTGGGTCGGTTTTTTAATTGGTGTTTTTGGTGTGTTTTGGGTTTTTTTTACGAAGTAGGTTTAATGAGTGCGTTGTAATACTTCATTGATAGCTGCAAAATAGTTGCATGTAGCTGGACACTCTTTTGTTATTTTGATAGAAGATTGAAGTATTTCATCTGTGCAGTGTACAGAAACTTTCCTCTTTTGTTTTTCCTCCTTCTTGGCATCAAGGACAGTGGAATTAAAGGGAAGAAATTGTAGCATCTCATCTGAATTAGCATCTGAGACTGAACTAATTATGCTCAGTGCCTTTTCTTTTAGGTAGTGAAACAGGTCTTCAATGAACTTTTGGTGTTAGGCTTTGTCCTTCCATAATTCTGCCGCCTTCTCATTCTGTGGAGATCTCTGGTTTTATTGGAGCATGGGAGTGATTTTTTTGTTTGGTTTTGAAAAACCGGGGATTCCTGGAACATTTACATAAAACATCACATTTAACTTCTGTTGCTGGCTTGTAGGTATCCAGGAGAAATATTCTAGTTAGAAGGCAGTGTACAGAGTGATTTAGGTTCTCTTGTATTTTAATCTGGTTGAAGTTGATGTCCTAAGACATCTGCTTGAAATTCTATTTCCTGTATACTTTTGCTGGATAGGAGAATAGCTTGCAATATTTTAATAGAAAATACCTGTTGTTTGAAGCTTGATGCTTCAAGTTTAAAGTTAACATTCCAGGAAGGAATGATAAACCAGTCATGCTGAATTAAAAAAGACAAAATTCTAAATTAGTATTTTGGCTGAGGGAAATGTCTTTCTTTTTAACTAAGTTAATTAAAATTCTAGATGTAATTTTAAAGATTCAGTTGATGTCCATTATATGGAAAATGCAACTGCTCCAAGTGCCTAAAGCAAAACTTCAGATATGTTGTGTATTTTATTTTCATAGTGTTAATTAAAGTATGAGATTATCGGCTGAATTACCACATTTACTTAATTGCAAAGATGTGACTCCTTAATTTGCAATAGTCTAGAAAGTTTGACAGTCATTGATGATAGATGTTTAAACGTGTTGAACGGCAAAATTCTTATTGTTGTTTTTTTATTCCAGGTAGGAGAAGACAAAGAGTGCATCGTCCCCGTTCTCCAATATTGGAAGAAAAAGATATCCCACCCTTGGAGTTTCCTAAATCCTCAGAGGACTTAATGGTGCCTAGTGAGCATATAATGAATGTTATTGCCATCTATGAGGTACTAAGGAACTTTGGCACTGTTTTACGCCTCTCTCCTTTTCGTTTTGAGGACTTCTGTGCTGCTCTGGTAAGTCAAGAGCAGTGCACACTTATGGCAGAGATGCATATAGTGCTTTTGAAAGCAGTTTTACGTGAAGAAGACACTTCAAATACTACCTTTGGACCTGCTGACCTCAAAGATAGCGTTAATTCCACTTTGTATTTCATAGATGGAATGACGTGGCCAGAGGTTCTGCGGGTTTATTGTGAGAGTGACAAGGAATACCATCATGTTCTTCCTTACCAAGAGACAGAGGACTATCCTTATGGACCAGTAGAGAATAAAATCAAAGTTCTGCAGTTTTTAGTGGATCAGTTTCTTACAACAAACATTGCACGTGAAGAGTTAATGTCAGAAGGTGTTATTCAGTATGATGATCATTGTAGGGTTTGTCACAAACTTGGGGATTTGCTTTGCTGTGAAACTTGCTCAGCCGTGTACCACTTGGAGTGCGTGAAACCACCTCTTGAGGAGGTACCAGAAGATGAATGGCAGTGCGAGGTCTGCGTAGCACATAAGGTGCCTGGAGTAACTGACTGTGTTGCTGAAATCCAAAAAAATAAACCATACATTCGACATGAACCTATTGGATACGACAGGCATAGGCGAAAATACTGGTTCCTGAACAGAAGAATCATTATGTAAGTAAACTATTCATTTAGGATTTTCTGGGCAATAATATTGTATTGAATGTATTTTAAATATCTGTAAATTGCTGTTGCCGTCTTAAAATTGCTCTCTAGGTGAGACCATTGCTTGCTGATCTGTAAGTAGATTTCTAAAGACAATGTAATTATTCCAGCAATTTTCTCCATAATAAATATCCTCATAATCTATCTATAAAACAGGGGAAATAATCCAGGTCCTCCAGCTTAAGTTTATGTGTCTAAAACACATGGATGTGGGGGAAATAAAGGAAATTTTATTGAGAATGCTCAATTTTTTTTGTAAAAGTTACTGCAAAGTAGTAGAAAGGGCAGCACTGTGCCCTTGTGGCCAAGAAGGCAAATGGCATCCTGGGGTGTATCAGGAGGGGGGTGGTTGTAGGGCAGAGAGGTTCTCCTCCCCCTCTACTCTGCCCTGGTGAGACCGCATCTGGAATATTGCATCCAGTTCTGGGCCCCAGTTCAAGAAGGACAGGGAACTGCTGGAGAGAGTCCAGCGTAGGGCTACAAAGATGATGAAGGGAGCGGAGCATCTCCCTTCTGAGGAGCGGCTGAGGGAGCTGGGGCTCTTTAGTTTGCAGAAGAGGAGACTGAGGGGAGACCTCATTCATGTTTATAAATATTTAAAGGGTGAGTGTCATGAGGATGGAGCCAGGCTCTTCTCGGTGACAAACAATGATAAGACAAGGGGTAACGGACACAAACTGGAACACAGGAGGTTCCACTGAAATTTGAGAAGAAACTTCTTCTCAGTGAGGGTGACAGAGCCCTGGCCCAGGCTGCCCAGAGAGGTTGTGGAGTCTCCTTCTCTGCAGACATTCAAAACCCGCCTGGACGCCTTCCTGTGTAACCTCATCTGGGTGTTCCTGCTCCAGCAGGGGGATTGGACTGGATGAGCTTTTGAGGTCCTTTCCAATCCCTAACGTTCTGTGATTCTGTGTAGTTTAACTCTTTGTGATCGCATGGTGTATAGGACACAGTTTTGGTACACTGTCACCTGCTTAGGTAGTATTTGGCTGTTGGACACTGGTACTGGTTTGATGGTCTGCCTTTGAAGCTAAGAATTTCAGAGGCACTCGAAGGTGTTCAGCACATCTATTAACTAGAAATGCAGAAAATGTTGTATGTGAACACTTTTCAAGTCAAAATAGCAAGAAATGCCTGTCTTCAAGAAATCTACTTTGTGTGTTTAACGCAGTTTCCTATTACTAGTTGATCCTGAGGTACTAATGTATCTCAAAACACTAATAAATCATCAACCATTATTAGTGAGGGCATTGTGCTCTGGTTTCTTTACCTGAGAAGTTGAATCCGAAATTGTAAAAATACTTCTACGTTTTTCATGGGAAAAGAGCTAAAGGCTGCTTTTTCTGATAAAAGGCTGTTCTTATTTAATTGTTCTCTTAATGGAGGAGAAATAATATTTAAGTGAAATCAATGGTGGTGTCAGTTTTGGAAAAATAAAGAGAACTTACTAGGTTTCTTGAAATACAATTTTTCCATTTGGTATTATGGAGAAAATAAGCCACAGCTGGATACCTTAGAATGTCATGCAAACCAGATTACAGTGAATGTTAAGATATCAGCCAGTGTCTTTAGAAAGGATTGTGAGGACTGTTGATGCCGTTACATCTTGCAAATAAGACACTTCTGAGGGCTCATTTTAGTCCTTTAAAATGTGGTGCTCTTTCTTTAATGCATTGTTAGCTGATGCTTTAACTATTAATTATCACTGCTCGCTCTTTCCTGTGTTCTTCTTTCACACTTGTAAGAAGTGAGTCCATAATTGATTATTTTTAGTTTCTCCCCGTTATAAATGCCACAGTAGTGTCAAGTCATCTTTTAAAAGATGCAGGGAGTCCTTTATACTCTTAATTAATTTTTGTGTTGTTGCTTATACTCCATCACGTGTTCTGCTGTACGTGGTGTGTTGTTCAGATAGGTCAGCAGGATGTGATGGTCAGCCTGAAGCCGTTGATAGCCCAACTCTTCCATTGCCTCATACATCATTTTCTACATTCTGTGTCCTTAAAAATGAGTTGAAAGTTTGATTTTCACAAAAAGCCTGGTTGTGAAGGACGTGTAACTGATACTCCTTGTAGTCTAGTTACCTGTGCTTTAGGAACTTACGGATAGTCTCCTCTGTGCGTGGTTTTTGTGCCTTTCCTCTCAAACCCTAGAGGAAAAGTTGTTCTAAAGATGGGTTTGTCTCACTGCTCTACTGACAGAACAGTTATATTGTTTGCCATTAGAGGTCTGGGAGTTAAATTAACATTAAAAAAATCCAGAGAGCCACCGACTCGAGAGGCGATTTTAAGATAAATTGGCAAGTTTTGCCCTGCTCTGCTCTCCCACCCAACACTTAGGCAGGTTGGTAATTATTTTGATTGAACTTGATCTATGAAACAATGGGTTTTTTCCCAATGAAGCAGAATATTTGATGTTCAGAAGATTCTGATACAGGCAGTACTTCAACATATTTTAAACTAAAATAAATCATGTGAGTGCTTCTGGATCCGTTGAGATCTACACACGGGAAAGTTCTGTCTCTCTGGCACACTGGTAGTAATTTTAACTGCACTAGAAAAGACATCTTGAAAGGTTAAATGTATTGAGGTGTTTTTCAAATGAATTTGCATTCCATTAGGAGTTCAGTGGGCAAATGATTTGTTTCAGAAATCATGAATCAAGTTTTATGAATATGAGTTTTGTATCCTCATTGTGATTTAGTTAAAGAGAAAATGTATCAGGGTGCCATTTCAAATCAAAATAGATGAGAACTGTAAACAATGCAGAAAAGGAACTTTTTTATTGGATTTTCCATTTTACTGATTTTTTGTTAGTGATTAAAATAATTCAAAATGCAAACAGAAATGTATTTTTATGTTTGCAAAGGCAGGAAGAAATGCAGTTCTTCCATTAATTGTTTCCTGACTTTGTTTTGTATTCTGATGCGGATCATCTCTAGCTTGAAAGATGATCCTGTTCGTCCCTGCCTTTCCTGTTGCCATTGAGTATCATGCCCTATGCTAGTGTAAATGCACCTGTGCATGCTTCCAAAACACCTTTATGGTAAAGCCACTCCATAAGGGGACAAAGTCTTTACTACATAACTAAATTCCAAGGAAATACAACTTTAATAATTCACGTAGATATTAAACACTGTACTTTTGGTTGTTGATGTCCTTTAGATTCAGCAGGCATGTTGTATTGCAAACCCAACCATTTCATATATACTGATCAAACCACACCTGATATCTTAGATAGCTGAAGGATAAGTTAAAGGATAACTGCCAAACGCTAAAACCTGAGATTCATGAAATTATATTATCAGCTTTGTTGAAATGAATAGCGTGTGTTCAGCAGTGCCGTGTGATTGAGTATATCAGAGGAAATAATAGATCTAAAAGTAATCCGCACGTACATCGACTTGAAACTGGGGATATTTTGTTGTTCAAAAGGATCTTTAGAGCTTTTTACTTACTCTCCCCTTATAAATGTTATATATCCATAATATCACTGGTTTTCCCATCTTTTAAAGGATTTTGAAGACTTGTTCACTGCTTGTTGTATTTCCACGCTCGTTGCTTGCTGAGGGTAATAAGCCTTTTTTAAGCCTGTCATTGTGGTTTTGTTTCTCTTTTCCACCTCTTCTGTTTTACAGAGATGGAAAAGTGAACACTGCAATGCTGTTCATGTTCTTAGTGGGTCCTCCACTGTTTTCTCCAATTAATTAGAAAGGATTTGGATCTTTATTTGAATAGATTAAACAATTTACCGAATTCTTCCATTTGTACTAGCATGGAGTTCAAGAAGGGGTATATCTACTTCACTACTACTTTACTTGAAAGTTTCTAGCATCTTCTGTGTTGTCATTTTTATCAGTTTTAAAACTTGCCTCTAAAGCCTGCCAGTGAATAGTGCCTGGCAGCCAAGGAGGCTGAAAGAGGTTGGAAATATTCATGTGATTCTTTTCTCCCTTGCTTGACCTCACTTAATGTATGTGACTCAGCTGAGTCCCCTGGAGACTTAAGTAGCTCTGTCCAGCACCGAGCTGGCAAATCTGTCTGTCTTGGCAGAGAAAAACATTGGGAATCGGTCCTTGTGTAGACTTGCATCATCCCATCGTTGTCTTGTGATAGCCTCTGTGATTTCTCCGGAGGGTAAAAGTCGTGTCCCTTTAGCCAGTGCAAGATGTTCAGTGGAAGTCAGCTTAAATAATTGTTAATTCACATCTTAACATTGCACAGAATGATTTCTGCTGCTGTTCTTTGACTGTTTGTGGGTTGGCAATGAGCACTCCAGGCTTCCAATGGCATTCACCTGAATCTTGGAAAGCAGTCTGTCCAAAGATGAGTTTCCTGTAAGCATACGTAACAGCAAGCTTGTGCCTTTTCATTTTCTGTCAGTGCTGCTGTCAAGAGAAAACTCTAATTCTTGAACTTCACTTACTAAGGTTGTGGTAATCATCAATTCAAGAGAAATTCTGTGCTCAAAACCCTATACAAATGAAGTAGAAGGGAAATAAAATTCTCTTGGTTAACCTCATAGTCTCTTTCTAGAGTATTATGTGAGCAGTTCTTTTAGGAGATAGGACTGGAATCACATGTGGAAGGGTTAGCTCTAGGTGCCATCTGCAGGATAGTCTTTGTGCTCCTATGTCTTGATTGACAAGATATGACAAGGTGACCCGCCTCCTGGAC